GTAAAGCATCTTGCAATTTTTTATTCATTTCTTCTTTTTCAAGAATTAGAATATTATTGCGCTCCTTGAGTTGAGGATGAGTGAGCATAATCTCTTGACATTCTCGCATTAGATTGTCAATAGATTCACGAGAAAAAGAAGAATTAACAGAATTGAAAGAATTAGATGTTACCTCTTCTTCCTCTGCGTCAAGAGCCATAAGACAATCTTCACTTGTACTCAACTCAATTGACTTGCATATTAGCGCCGTATCATCATCCGAATATGAACTTTCATCGCTTGATGATGAATCCTCCGAATCATCATTTTCGTTTGGTTCGTTGCCAACGAGAGCTTTTCTTTTGTCGTGCTTGAACCTTTTGCTTTCGGATTTGTTCGGTGTAGATTCAACATTTTTGCCTTGATACTTGCTAACGATCGGATACGGACAATTTATTTTAAAATGTCCGGGTTTGCGGCAATTGTAGCATAAATCCTTATTTTCTTCGACTTTTTCTTCTTGTGTTATGCGAGACATGAATTTTCCACGAGCAGAATTTTTGTTGTCTCCTTTTCGCATAAACCTTCTAAACTTTTTGACAAAAAGAGCAAATTGTTCGTCAGTCATAAAATCAACATTATTTTCTACTGACCTGGAGGTTGACGGTTGTTTGGCCATTAGAGCAGCATTTCGAGCTTCATGAACATCATCATCTTTGGCCTTCATTTCGAACTCATATGCTTTTAGATCACTAAATAATTTGTCTGTTGACAACATTCTTAGATCTCGGTGATCGCGCATAGCCGTAACCTTCATATCTCATGCAGATGGTAAGCCTCGTAGAATTTTAAGATTAATTTCTTTTTGGCTAATATTTTTGCCAAGATCACTAATCTCTCCAAGAACTTTGATCATTCAAGCTTCCATGTCTGCAACACTTTCATTTGAGAGCATTTTGAAATCTTCAAACTTCTTCATGGCGATTGTGAGCTTATTATCCTTTTCTTGTTCATCTCCTTCGCCAATCTTGATGAGAGTTTCCCATATTTCTTTGGCAGTGGCACACTTTCGGATCTTCGGAGATATTGTATCATCAACGGCTTTGAATAGAATATCCTTGGCAATATTGTCAAGATTATTCTGCGTTCTATCATCTGATGTCCATTCCGGTTTTGGCTTTTGTACGTACTGTGGAGCATCCGGGGATATAACAAATGCCGTATTGACTTTTAATATTTCGATAGGGCCAGTGGAAATAACTTCCCACATTTCATCGTGTAAGGCCGATAAGTGTACCTGCATACGAACTTTCCAATCATCAAATTTATCAAGAGAGAATAATAGATTTTGAGCTAAATCTTTCTTCATCATCATCACGAGAGATATGAAAGATGAATCCAATTCACACACTTTGGAGAATGGATCTGTCTAGCAGTCAGAAATGGTTGACCCAGTTAGGCACGTGCTTAGATAGCAATTTGGCCTAAATAGACAGCCTGCTCTGATACCAATTGTTCTTATCAGTTAGAGACAAATTCTGACTCGGATAGGCACCCGCTCTGATACCAATTGTTGGTCCCAAAAGAGGTAGGGTGAAAGTCTAGAGGGGGGGGGGGGGTGAATAGACTTTCAAACTTTTTCGCACAACACAACAAATGCTAAGACAGAGATAAACCAAAACTCTTAACTAGATTGTTAGAGTATGGTGCACAGCGGAAATAAATAAACATAAAGTGTGTGTGAGATTGTGTGAGCAGTATATCTTCGTGAGAGCAAATATATAAAGAGCAGTATGTAAAGAAAGCAGTAAAGAACACAAGACAATTATAGTGGTTCGCGAGGTGGTGTAATCCTCCTACTCCACTTGCTCTTTTCTCCAAGAGCCAATCCACTATATCTACCACTCCTTGGTTCCAAGATACAATGAATTTCCGTGATCTAGTGCTTTGATCACAAAGCCGGCACTAATCACGCCCAGTGACACCACACTGCTGCTTCGGGTTTCACGTCGCCGCGCTACTATCCCAGGATTTCACGACTCCGCGTTACTTTCCCCCCGTCTTCCACACTCCGGTAGAAATGTATCCCGTGATCTGGTGCTTTGATCACCAAGCCCACACCAATCACGCCCAGTGTCTCCGACACTGCTGCTTCGGATCTCACAGCTCCGTGTGACAATCCAGGATTTCACAGCTCCGTGCTACTTTCCTCCCTTCTCTTGTTTTGCTCCAAAACAAGTGTTGTCTTGCTTCCAACTTCTGAGACTCTGTAGATGATCTTCAATGATGCGCAGGTCTCTTTGATGAAGATAAACACTCTGGAATGATTTCTCTTGACAGCTCTGAGTGTTTTCTCTCTTTGAATATATAAAGTAAAGCACTTGATATTTTTGCTCTGTTTAAGAAATCTCTAAATATTTCTCTTTTGAAGCTCTCTGAGTTCTTTTTCTTTTCTCACTTCTCACTTGAAGATTTTTGGTATGCTCTGTACCAAATGAGATTTTTTGCTCTATGCTCTTTCAAGCTTAATTGCTCTATTCGATCCCTTTGATGGATTCGAATTTTCTGCTCTCTTGTTCGTGAGTTCGTTGTCTTCAAGTCTTCATATCTTCATCATTTTATAGCTGGTAATGAGAATCTGTCCGTTGGAAAGAGACGCTCTCATTTTTGAAATTTTGTATCTTTTGTCAGAGATCTTATCTTATCGTCTGCAAAAATGTCAGAAAGAGATAAGCTAGCCGTTGATGGAGTTTCATCTCCATGTAAATGAGCTGTAACACCCCAGATTTTCAAGACATTTAAAACTTATAAATAAAGGTATTATCTCATTAAATCCCAAAACATAATACAAGTGTACGGGGTGCTATGCCACACCTGAGCTAGAGAACCCAGGTGCACAGGCTAACTAGCTAATGTCCTCAATAATGTAAATGCATAATATGGCACGCAGGCCGAAATGGGAACTATCTACTTCTACGTTCCGAGTTCTAGCGCGCTCCAGTGACTTATTCTTCTGTGCCTGAAAGCCAAATATATCTGTTCAGCGAGAGATGCTGGTAACCCACTCCAACGCGTTGAAATACAATACGTATAGAGGTATATATAGATATACGAAAACCATTATGAGCATGAAGATATATCCTACGAACTCTAGCTTTTAAAACCGGGAATGACTCGACAGGTAAGGCCAGACACAAGTAACAGTTATAACGAGCATATGCAGTTCACAACAGATAAGGCAGGTAAGGCAAAGCATAAACAATAATCATAACCCAACATGAACAATCCCCAATGTAAATCCCTTAGTCACATCCCCCAAGACACTCATAATCACAACTCATCTATATCACAACACATAACACACTTTGTTGGCGCCACAGGACCAATCACATGCCCATATGATAGGCATATTTTACACTCATATTTTAGGTACATTTTTATAATAATTTTACATTCATTATTTAATATTATTTAATAATTAGTTCTTTTTAGAGCTAATATATATATATATATATATATATATATATATATATAATATAGAATACATTAATTATATATTACGTAGGGTACTAGCTAGTATATATATTATATATTATATTGTTAAATATTGCTTTGGTCCAACGGATGCATGCAAAACGAATTGAAGGTTTCAATTCGTTCGACTAAGGCAGCGGACAAAACGGAAGAATCCTTCAAACAAGTCAAAATGCTTCGCGAATTTCGACAGTGAGAGGCTCAAAATTAGGAAAATTGGCTGGTTGAGGTTCATTTAGCCTATTTTAAGAATACTATAAATAGTAGAAGTTTCCTTTTGTAAAACATTCATTCTTTCCCTCTCGATTATTCTTTAAAGTTGTTGTCAATGTCCATTCGTGGCTAATTTCTTTAGCTTGGTTTAGTGAATTGAAGCCCCGGAATTGATTATGCTGTAAGATTATTTATTTATTTTATTATATAATTTTTATGCATTTGGGTATTATATATTCTTCTAAGTTATTTGATATAATTATTTGCTATATTAGATAATGTTGTGCTACAAATTATTCTAATATTCAGTAGCAACTGAGGTTAATTATTGACGGCTTAGTGATAATTGATTTCAGGAAGAATATTTTCCTAAATTAAATGCAACCGCTTGTGTTTGTGTTATTTAGTTTGTTGGTTTTCCTAGTTCCTATTGCTGCTATTAAGTTAAATCTATAGCGCTTGTCTTAGGTTATTTAGTAGTTAGGGGTAATTAAACCGCTTGTGCTTTATTTACCTACAACTAAGGGAAAACAGAAATGAAATAATTTCACGACAAATATTCAATTGCATATTAATTACTTTATTAATCAATGATCAGTGTTGAATTCCGGTGGTGGATCTTTACTAACCAAGGTTTCTTATTATAAGTGTTTTCGATATATTATTTTCACTGTTTATTCGTTCGATTAAATTTCTCGTTTATTTAATTTCTCTTTTATTTAATATTTATTCTCGGTATATTCCAAACCCCCCATTATTTCCTTGAGCACAAAAGTTAAACTAGTTACTCCTCGTGGGATCGATCCTTACTCCCGCTACTACGTTGGTAAGGTTTTAATTTGGGAGCCTACGACAGCTCACCAAATTTTGGCGCCGTTGCCGGGGAGATTTTCTAGCTTATTTTGTGTTTATTTAATTATTTATTTCTGTATTTGTTTATTTGTTTTCATTTGCCCAAAAAAAAAAAAAGAATTTTAAAAAAATATTCTCTCTCGTTACTTTTGCATAAATGCTGCAATATATTTACTTTTCTTTTTTTATGCCTATAACTCGATCTGCTAATAAAAAAATCTTGCCGTACTATCCGGAAATTGAAAGAACTATACGCAAGTGGAGGAAACAAGCTTTGAGCAAATTGGAGTTTAGTGATCTGGCTACCGATTCTACCAATCCTGATTTAGAAGGGGAACCCATGGCTCAAAATCGGACTTTAAAAGAGCTTGGAGCTTCAAATCTAGATCAACAACCATTATGCATCACCTTCCCTGCTCTAGATGCCAATGTGCAATTCGAACTAAAGTCTGGATTAATTCATCTTTTGCCTTCTTTTCGTGGACTTGCAGGTGAAGATCCTCACAAGCATTTAAAGGAATTCCATGTGGTGTGTTTGAGTATGAAACCCACTGGGGTTACTGAGGAACAAATCAAGTTGAGAGCCTTTCCCTTTTCGTTGAAAGATTCAGCGAAGGATTGGTTATACTATCTACCTTCTGGGAGCATCACCACATGGAATAACTTAAAGACACTATTCCTTGAAAAATATTTCCCAGCTTCAAGGGCGGCCAATATTAGAAAGGAAATCTGTGGTATAAGGCAAAACAATGGAGAGTCTTTGTATGAATATTGGGAGCGTTTCAAGAAGCTTTGTGCAAGCTGCCCACACCATCAAATCAGTGATCAATTACTCATTCAATACTTTTATGAAGGACTTTTTCCGATGGATAGAGGCATGATTGATGCTGCAAGCGGTGGTGCTTTAGTTGACAAAACACCAGACGCTGCAAGAAATTTAATTGCAAACATGGCTGCAAATTCTCAACAGTTCGGCAATAGAGTTGCCCAACCGTCTAAGCAAGTGAATGAGGTAAATATTTATGCTCTTGAACAACAAATTTCTGGTTTAGCTACTCTTGTTCGTCAATTAGCAGTAGGCAATATGCAAACCGTAGGAGCATGTGGAATTTGCTCGGTAGTTGGGCACCAAACTGATGCCTGCCCAACTCTTCAAGAAGAACCTATTGAACAAGTCAACATGGCTGGAGGTTTTCCTGGACAACCTCAAGGTAAGTATGATCCATTTTCCAATACATATAATCCTGGATGGAGGGATCACCCAAACCTTAGCTATGGGAACTCACAAGGGAACCAGTTTGTTCAGAATCATTCTAATTTTCAACAGTATAGACAACCATTTCATGCAAGACAACAGCCGGTCAAAAGCTCTAGCTCAGGTATGAATCTAGAAGATATTGTTAAATCTCTTGCTACTAACACTTTGCAGTTTCAACAAGAAACACAACTATTCCAACAAGGGACAAGAGCTAGTATTCAAGAAACAAATGCTAGTATTCAAAACTTGGAAAGACAAATGGGCCAACTAGCAACTACAGTTAGTCGGTTGGAAGCACAGAGTTCTGGCAAACTACCCTCTCAAACAGTGGTTAATCCAAGAGAAAATGCAAGTGCAATTGTGTTGAGGAGTGGTAAGGAAATTGAAGGCCCTGCGATTGCTACCCCATCAGTGAACCAAGAAAAAGAGGGAACTAGCAACAATGAAAATTCTCAAGGTAAGTCTTCCAATCTTCTGAATTATGAACCCGTTCCCCCATTCCCCCAAGCTTTGTCAGAATCTATAAAAGGAACGAAAGATGAAGAGTTATATGAAACTTTCAAAAATTGTGAAGTGAATATTCCATTACTTGATGCAATAAAACAAGTTCCTAGATATGCTAAATTTTTAAAGGAATTGTGTACAACAAAAAGGACACAAAAGTCAAAAAAAGGTGAGAAAGTGCTAATGGGTAAGAATGTTTCTGCTGTGATTCAAAGCAAGCTTCCTGAAAAATGCAAGGATCCAGGTATGTTTACTATTCCTTGTATGATAGGCGATACTAAACTTGAGAAAGCCATGCTAGACTTAGGAGCATCTATTAATGTTATGCCATATTCTGTGTATGCTTCTTTAAAACTTGGACCTTTGAATGAAACTAGTGTAGTTATCCAGTTGGCTGATAGGTCTAATGCATACCCCAAGGGTGTAATTGAAGATGTATTGTTGCAAGTTAATAATTTAATCTTCCCTACTGATTTCTATGTGCTAGATATGGAAAATAATGATCATTCTGCACCTATTCTGTTAGGAAGACCATTTTTAAAAACTGCAAAAACAAAAATTGATATTCACAGTGGTACACTTACTATGGAATTTGATGGTAATGTTGTTACATTCAATATTTATGATGCTATGAAATACCCTGGGGGTGATAACTCTGCTTATTCTGTTGATATTATTGATTCATTGGTTGAAGAAGTTTTTGAATTTCATGGTGAAGATAAATTAGAAGTTGTTATTTGTGAACACCTTGAAAAAGGAAATAATGAGTTTTCTCTGAGTGCCAATTTACATGAAGTTATTGCATCATTGAATCATTGTCCCAAATTGCACCAACAAAATAATGTTTCTTATATGGCTTTGCCTGTCTCTATCAAAAAATTGTTACCATCTGTCGTGCAGGCACCTATCCCTGAGTTGAAGCCTCTTCCCAATCATCTTAAATATGCTTTCTTAGGAGAAAATAAAACATTGCCAGTCATAATTTCAACTAAACTCTCTGCAATAGAAGAGGAAAAACTTGTCCAAGTGCTAAAAGAACACAAAACTGCCATTGGGTGGACAATTGCAGATATCAAAGGGATAAGTCCATCCACTTGCATGCACCGAATTCTTCTAGAGGAAGGAGCAAAACCATCTCGTCAACCACAAAGAAGGCTAAACCCGCCCATGATGGAAGTAGTCAAGGAAGAGGTCCTCAAACTCCTTGGAGCTAGGATAATCTATCCTATTTCAGATAGCAAATGGGTTAGCCCAACTCAAGTGGTTCCTAAGAAAACAGGGATTACAGTTGTCAGAAATCAAAATAATGAACTTGTCCCCACTCGTATTCAAAATGGGTGGCGAGTTTGTATAGACTATAGGAAGTTGAATGCTGTTACAAGAAAAGATCACTTCCCTTTACCGTTTATTGACCAAATGCTAGAGAGGTTGGCCGGTCGCTCTTATTTTTGTTTTCTTGATGGTTATTCAGGTTATTTCCAGATTCCAATCGCTCCGGAAGACCAGGAAAAGACGACTTTTACATGTCCCTTTGGCACTTTTGCATATCGGCGCATGCCGTTTGGCCTCTGTAATGCCCCGGGTACCTTTCAGAGGTGTATGGTTAGCATATTTTCTGATTATGTTGGGAATATGATTGAAGTTTTCATGGATGATTTTACAGTTTATGGCGACTCTTTTGACTCCTGCTTACATAACCTTTCACTTATTTTGAAAAGATGCATAGAGAGTAATCTTGTGTTAAATTCTGAAAAATGTCATTTTATGGTTAATCAAGGTAATGTTTTGGGGCATGTTATTTCATCTAGTGGGATTGAGGTTGATAAAGCCAAAGTTGATATTATAGAGTCTCTGCCTTATCCTACTACTGTGCGGGAAGTCCGCTCTTTTCTTGGACATGCAGGTTTTTACCGAAGGTTTATCAAGGACTTCTCGAAAATAGCACTACCTTTATGCAAATTGTTGCAGAAAGAGACACCCTTTGAGTTTGACAAAAAGTGTAAGGGAGCATTTGACGAATTGAAGGAGTTGTTGACGTCTGCGCCGATCATTCAGCCACCTAACTGGAACTACCCATTTGAGATTATGTGTGATGCAAGTGATCACGCAGTAGGGGCTGTGATGGGCCAAAAGATCGGGAAATCATCCCATGTTATTTATTCTGCTTCTAGGACTTTAAATGATGCTCAGAAAAACTATTCTACTACAGAAAAAGAACTTTTAGCCATTGTTTTTGCTTTAGAAAAATTTAGGTCCTATTTGCGGGGCACCAAAGTTATCGTTTATTCTGACCATGCAGCTCTTCGCTACTTGATGAAAAAGCAGGAAGCCAAACCAAGATTGATAAGATGGATTCTCCTCTTAAGTGAGTTTGATGTGGAGATCAAAGATAAAAAGGGGTCAGAGAATCTTGTGGCCGATCATTTGAGTCGGTTGGTACACATTGAACCTGAACCTCCGCTGCAAGAAGCATTCCCTGATGAGCACTTATTGGCTGCGACTGTGGTTTTACCTTGGTATGCTAACGTAGTCAACTTTTTGGTTGCCAACAAGTTTCCTCATAATTCGTCTAAAGCCCAAAAAGATAAAATCAGGAGTAACGCCAAGTACTATGTATGGGATGAACCGTACCTCTGGAAACATTGTGCTGACCAAGTGGTAAGGCGGTGTGTACCTGATAGCGAAATTGCCTCAATCCTTGCCTTTTGTCATTCTTATGCTTGTGGCGGCCACTTTGGTGCTAAGAGAACAGCAAGGAAAGTGTTGGACTCTGGGTTTTATTGGCCAACTTTATTTAAAGATTCATACTCATTTTGCAAGTGTTGTGATGCTTGCCAAAAGTCAGGTAATTTATCCCGGAGAAATGAAATGCCACAAACTCCGATCCTATTTTGTGAGGTCTTTGATGTTTGGGGTATTGATTTTATGGGCCCATTTCCTGCCTCTTTTGGTTTTGTCTATATTTTACTTGCTGTTGATTATGTTTCGAAGTGGGTAGAAGCTAGAGCTACTAGGACTGATGACTCTAAAGCTGTTGCAGATTTTATCAAATCTAACATCTTTTCCAGGTTTGGCATTCCAAGAGCTATAATAAGTGATCAGGGTACTCACTTTTGTAATCGCACCATCGAAGCATTGCTTAAGAAGTACCATGTCACCCATAAGGTGTCAACTGCCTACCACCCACAGACTAATGGGCAGGCAGAGGTGTCCAACCGAGAGGTGAAGTCAATCCTTGAGAAAACAGTCAACCCAAACAGAAAGGATTGGAGTTTGCGTTTAGATGATGCATTGTGGGCGTATAGAACCGCATACAAAACACCTATTGGTATGTCCCCTTATCGCATTGTGTTTGGGAAAGCTTGTCACCTTCCCGTTGAGTTGGAGCACAGAGCCTATTGGGCTGTCAAGAGCTTTAATATGAACATTGATGAAAGTGGCCTACACCGCAAGTTGCAACTTTCTGAGTTGGAGGAGATTCGCAATGAGGCCTACGAGAATTCAAGAATCTACAAAGAAAAGACAAAAGCATTCCATGACAAGATGCTTTTGGGAAAGGAATTTTCAATTGGACAAAAAGTCCTCCTCTTCCAGTCACGTCTTCGGCTATTCCCAGGTAAGTTACGTTCTCGTTGGGTTGGTCCATTTATTATCACAAATATTTTTCCTCATGGGGCGATAGAGATTCAAAGTTTACAGACTTCAAAGATATTCAAGGTTAATGGCCATCGGCTTAAACCTTACCATGAAGGGGCTCAAGTTGAATATATTGCCGACATACTTCTTGAAGATCCCAGCTATTTTGAATAATATGAACAACTAGAAGGGGAGTTTGTTTTATTATTATTATTTTTTTTTTCTCTTTTCTTTTTGTTACATTTAATATCCTTTTTCTGTGCTTTTTTTTATTCAACATTGGGGACAATGTTGATAATAAGTGTGGGGGAGGGGATTTAGATTTATTATTATTTGTTTGCTTATGTCAAAATTTTCACAAATATTTTACTAGTATTTTATGCAAAATAAGTATTATTTTCAAAAAAAAAAAAAATCCAAAAATTATTTTATTTTTCCTTTCTTGGAATTCATAACATGATTGAATAAATAATTTGGCAAATTGTGATTAGTTTGTTAGCATTTCCCGTTTGATATGTAATGACTATATTAAGTAAGCAATAAACCTGTGAGTGTTTTGAGCCATTGACTGACACTTCGGTCTTATTTTCTTTCTATTGTGCGATTTCTTCCATAATTTTGTTTCTCTAGAACTTGCCTTGATTCTCTTTTAAAGCTAATTAGACCATGCATGATTCAAGTGTGATTAAGGCCATTATTTGATTTTGAGCCTCACTATCCAAATAACCGGTTTGTCCCATGATTATTTCCCTTCGTTAACCCACTTTGAGCTTTATGGCCATTCTTTTCTTTATTTTGAACCACATTACAAGCCTTTTATATCTAAAAATAATACCTTCACCCAGCTGAATAACTAGTGGAGCAAATTTTGAATTATTCTTGTAACCTACGTGAGGTTGTGAGGAAGAAGTGTGGGGGAGGTCACTTTCTTGTGTTAATATGACTGAAAATGAGGTGAGTTGTATCTTCATTACTGATTTGTCGCTGGTCTTCTATGAAAAAGAAAACGAAGACAATTCATGATTCCAAAAAATATGGAGGCTGGAAAAAATGAAGAAATGGGAGAAATGATTAATGTATTTTGAAAAAAAATGTTGCTGAAATTTATGAGAAAAAATGAGAAAGAATCAGCAGTTTGTTTTGAGTCTGAAGTTACTTCTAAATAAATGAAGTAAGGGGAAATTCTGGTAATACTGAGGAAGCATTCTATACTTGGTGTTGAGCAAGTATCTTGGATTATTTGTATTTATTTGCTCCTCTAGTTTGAAAGCTTTTGTTTAAGCTACTTTCCTAAATATTCCCTACCTTAACCCTAGCCCCATTACAACCTGTGGGAAGTCCTTATGATTTGTGTCATGCATGACTCTTGTAGTGGTGATTGAGAAGATATGCAAGCCTATGGTAGAGCAATTTTATAGGAATGAACTTGAGTGAAATCTATACCCATCAAACACTTGAGTGATGAGTGATATTCCTGTGAGGGCTTACTTATTTAGTTTTCTTCATTTTCAAATAGGAATGCTAACTTATTAATTGCAGGGTGCTTCAGATTGTTGTTCATGATATGTTATGAGTTTTGGAAATTTCGATTCAATTTACTTCGCAAATAATATTTTTGCTTGGGGACAAGCAAACGTTTTAGTGTGGGGAAATTTGATAGGCATATTTTACACTCATATTTAAAGTACATTTTTATAATAATTTTACATTCATTATTTAATATTATTTAATAATTAGTTCTTTTTAGAGCTAATATATATATATATATATATATATATAATATAGAATACATTAATTATATATTACGTAGGGTACTAGCTAGTATATATATTATATATTATATTGTTAAATATTGCTTTGGTCCAACGGATGCATGCAAAACGAATTGAAGGTTTCAATTCGTTC